CACATCTCACTGCAACACAGCACATATACAAACATGCATCATATTGAAAAATGATTTAAAGTCCATTGTATCCAAACAGATAGATATTTTAGCTAAAATAATTTCTAGCTAACAAGAGGGTATAAAGAGGAATTCCATGTCTGAACATTGTGAAAGCGAACATATATTTTCACTCATATAATCATGACAAAAATCCAATGAAAAAAGTTTTATTATTAATGCATTTTGGATGAGGACCTGAGGCACAGTCCTATTAAGCAAATTACTAAATATCACACTTCTAATCAGGGCTAAAGACAGTATTGGGCAACATGCAGTCTGGTCCCAGTTTGTCTTCTTAGTGCTTATAATTAGCAAGGGGAAAGAAATATTCTGAGTTCTGTAGAAAAAGTTGGGTGGCGAGGTGTTGACTCAACTTCACCCTTTCCTCTTCTGAACTTCAGATAATTTTGTGAGCTTGTTCTACATCAGTGAGTGGGTAGAAATTTAAATGATGGAGGTATTTTTGGTAAGGAAGGATGTGTGGCTTGAAAGTTTGTCCTTTTTGATAAGAAAATGAAATCTTTTGAATAAAATCAGCAAATGAGGAACTGGAATGGTTAGAATTTATAAAGAGAGTAGCTGGATACTGATTGCCTGGGGGCATGGAAGGGAAGGGTTTAGGAAATGGGGAGTCGACATCAATGAGTGCAATAAAGATGAAAAAGTTTCAAAGTGGATGGTGGCAATAATTGTGCAACCCTTCTTGATATGATTGAACTATTTAATTGTGTGTTAACTATAGTTCAATAAAAAATTTAAAACAACACACACACATATACAAAGCAAACCTTCATTGCCATTGAGTTGATTCTAGTTCATCTTGACTTTAGGTAGTATTCAGATAATTTAACAACAAATTAGATATCCTAATTACCATTTTAAGTATAAAAAAGATACTGAAAGGTAGTTTGTTATTTCATACAGTTAAAACTTAAATAGGAAAAATAAAAGAGGTACATAAAGTTGTATTGTGTTATGAGTTTTAAATTATTAATAAAATGTAAAAATATTAAATAATACCTGAAAAAACAATACAACTGTTATTTAAGAAATTTCAATATTGCTTCTTGATTGACATTTGCACTGGCAATATTCTTTACTTTTATCTGAGCACCGTTGGCTATGTGATTTGCCCTTAATTATCTTTTCATTTGATAAGTCATTGTGTTTCATATATTTGAAACAGGCGACTTCTCTTTTCTGAACATAATATGTTCATCTTTGAAATACCCCTTTCTACTTCTGCTGATCGTAAAGCAATTGTTCTGACAATATTTTTAGTTCTATGAGCACTTTCAGGAATTGCATAATTCACTCATAATATCTTGTGGGAATATGAAGCGTAACACAAAGCTGAAAAGAATGACAACGTGGAACCTTCTGGTTGTTTGTTATTTTTTCTCTTTACATTATTTTTTTACTGAAGGAAAAAATGCAAGTGAATAAAAATGTAGTGTTTCATAAAATGTATAATGAGTTTTACAAAATGAATAAATAAATATTACAAGCATAGTTCCATCAAAATTTTTATGCCTATGGGCAGAATTGACATTATACAGGTGTTTAAAATATACTGTTGAGGAGATGAACGTTAAAAAGAAGTAAGGAATGTAAGTTTGTGATTTCCACATTGACCAGCTGCCCAGCTGCCCACAGTAGAAAGAATGTTGGTTACAAGTGCTGCTGCCATTTTAACTTCAGGTTTGGTTTGCCAAACTCAACAAAAAATTAGCTATCAGTTTTGCCAAACCGGTGGGAACCACTGAATCAACCCCATAAATGAACTTAAGAAAGTAGAGCTGTCTCATAGGGTTTCTAAGGCTGTAACCTTTACAAATGCAAACTGTTACATCTTTCTCTGATTGAGTGTCTGATGGGCTCAAACTGCCAACTTACCAGTTAGCAGTCAAGCACTTTAATTGCTGAATCACAACTGCTTTCTTCTCCCTTACTCCTTTATTATTAAAATAGTACATGATGGAGATGGTGCCTTAAATTGTATTACCTTAGAGAAAAACAAAACAAACCATACTTATGGTGATTGCTGAAAAAATGGTATTATAACCAAAATTTTCAAGAGATAACTTGTGTTTTCCAGGGATTGAGTTTTAATGGTTGTGATAGTTGCATAATCTGTTGTCAATTTGAGACTTGTGAGTGAAGGGGTGGGATTTAGCCTGTCAATCAATTCACAGCTTGATGACCTCATTTGGAGACTCTAAGGAGATAAATAGCTTGTTGGAGGCAGTTCACAGGTTCACTCCCTGGGATACATTGCAGCTGGCAAGACACATGGAGCTACGCTTGTGCCCTGAGCTTGAGGAGCCATGTGGAGACCCCTGCCATCCTTGAGATGCTTACAATGCCACTGGATCCACAAGACTTCCCACCCACTGCCCTGTGATCTTCCTGCATTTGGCATCATTGCATATGTTTTGTGAGTCTGAAGAGGATTTTATAGTTTGGTATGGGATATAATATCAGACTTAGGGACTTGATCTGGATTGGGCTGGAATGTTTCCTTAATGCACAATTACTCTTTATATAAAGCTCTTTCTTATACACAATGAGTGTCCATGAATTTGTTTGTCTAGTCTACCCGGCCTGACATAATGGTAATGTTCCTATTCATGGATTAGCTAGTTCATGAATTGTTACTTGATGCATTAAGTTTGTCATTCATTATACGTGTAGTCATTTTTTCTTAATATTTTGCATTCAAGGAAGCTTTCTTCAGCTCACTGAATCTACACAAATGGGCAGTTTTTCATTTGTAAATTAAACTTTTGATAGTCTATGGTTGCCCCATTCATTCAGATTCTTCCACAAAGGTTTGAAGTTGTTATCATTCTCACTAAGTAAGCTTTGGGCCATTGTTGTTAGGTGCCATCAAGTTGGTTTGAACCCATAGTGACCCTTTGCACAACAGAACAAAACACGGCTCAATCCTGCTTGTGCCATCCTCCATTGTTCCTATTATTGAGCCTATTGATGCAGAAACTGTTTTAATCCAGCTTGTTGAGGGTCATCTTATTTTTTGCTACCCTCTACCTGGCAAAAATGTCCTACTTCAGAGACTGGAGTCTTCTGAAACTATATCCAAAATACTTGAAATGAGGTCTTGCCAATCTTGCCTTGAAGAAGCACTCTGGCTGTAATTTTTCCAAGACAGGTTTGCTTCTCCTTTTGACAGTCCATGGTACTTTCAAGATTCCTCAGCGTCACCATAAATTAAATAATTGATTCTTCTGCAGTCTTCCCTATTCAGTGGTCAATTGTCCCTGCATATTAAGCAATTGAAACTATCATTGCACATCTTAATTCTCAAAACTGTAAAGGGATCTTGTGCAGGAAATTTACCCAAATGCAATGCATTGTTTGATCTCTTTATTGATGTTTCCATGAGCATTGATTGTGGATCCAAGCAAGATTATATCCTTGACAATGTCAATCTTTTATCCGTCTTTCATGATGTTAAAAATTGATCCAGTTGTGAGGATTTTGTTCTTCTTTACGTTGAATTGTAAACCAAACGGAAGGCTGCAAGCATTGCTCTTCATCAGCAAGTACCTCAAGTCCTCAGTTTCAGCAAACAAGGTTGTGTCACCTGCATATCACAAATTGTTAATAAGCCTTCCTCCCATCCTGACGCCACATTCTTCTTCATAGAAGTCAAATTCTCTGATTCTTTGCTCAGCATACAGATTGAGTTAGTATGGTGAGAAGATGCAATCATAATGCACACCTTTCCTGATTTTAAACCATGCTTGTATTATCTTGTTCTGTTTGCAGAACTGCATCTTGGTCCATGTACAGGTTCTGAATGAGCACAATGACGTGTTCTGGAATTCCCATTCTTCTCAAGGTTGCCCAATGCCTTGGCATAGTCAATAAAACACAAGTAAACATCTTTTTGGCATTCTCTGCTTTCAGCTTTGATTCATCTGACATCAGCTATGATATCCCTTGTTCTATGTCCTCTTCTGAATTGGGCCTGATCCTCCGGCAGCTCCCTATTATTGTACTGCTGTAATCATTCTTGGATGATCTTCAGCAAAATGTTACTTCTATTTGATATCAATGATATTGTTCTCTAATTTGAGAATTCTGTTGTGTCACCTTTCTTTGCATTGAGTACAAACATGAATCTCTTCCAGTCCATTATTCAAATAGCTCTCTTTCAAATTTTCTGGCGTGAAAAATAAGTGCTTCCAGTATTTCATCAGTTTGTTGAAATATTTCAATTGGTATTTCATCATTTCCTGGAGTCTTGTTTTTGGCTAACACTCTTTTTTCTTCTTCTAATTATCAAGATTTTATTCTACTTTGATCAATAATCAATTTCCATGGATGCAGCAGTCAAGAAATAAAAACTGTATTGCATGGGGTAAATCTGTGGCTAAAGATCTCTTTAAAATCTTACAAGCAAATTTGTCACTTTGATAACTAAGGTGCATCTGACCAAATCATAGTATTTTTAATCAGTTCATATACATGCAAAATTGGACAATGAAAAATGAGTTCCAAAAAAAAGAAATGATTTAAACTGTGGTAAATATACCATGGACTGCCAAAAAACAAATCAGTCTTGGAGGAAGTATAGTCAAAATATTTCTTAGCCCATTTGAGGAGACAGTTTTTGTTAGATAGGATCCACTCTTGTCACCTTGAATATCAACATTCAATAAAACTCTTGCTCTTCTCCTTGAAAATAAAGGTTTCTTAGGACGCAGAGTTCCACATGCTTCGGACATGTCATCAGAAGCAGCCCATCCCTGGAGAAGGCATCTCACTTAGAGAGTCATCGACAGAGAATAAGCCCTGCAATAAGATGGGCTGACACAACGACAGGAACAATGTGTTTAAACAGCAACAATTATGAAGACGGCACAAACTAGGTACCAAGTCTTTCTATTATGAGGCCATTAGGAGTCACAGCCAATTCAATGACACCTAACAATGTTTAAGGCAGAACATGAAGTCTATGTTTGCACATCTGTCTATAAGCCATCTGCTTGCTACCTGCAAAGACTCAAAATGCTAAAGGATGAATACATGAAAAAGAACTAATGAAAAAGAACTCACATAAATGCAATCTGGATTTTCAGGTATTAAAACCAGTCAATGATTGGTTATCAAAACTTAAAAGGGTTGGGAGGACCCTGACAATAATGACTATGAGATCATAATTTTGGGAAAGTAAAATTGGACCTTTTCTTAGCTCAAACTACATAATTTGATAAAAAATGATTAATCATGGCCTTTTAGGTACTTTAAGATGACATATTGACTTTGCAGTCAATACTTCGTAAGACGGCAGGTAAATCTAGCGCAGAAGAAACTGTGTAATGCGGCACAGGGGATGACTTCTGCGGCACTATTCTGTTTTTATTTATCCAGACTGTTGCTTTTAACCCTGCATTGAGGCCTCCTTGTACATCAGTTTCTAGTGTGTCACCCACCATCACACAGTCTCCAGGCTGTACTCCAAGGAGATCACAGCAGTAGTAAAATATGGAAGGTGATGGCTTCTCCTCCTTCTGCTCTCCACCTACAACAACAGCATCAAAATAGGATTGACAAGCACACGCCTCAATCTTCTCCCTCTGGGTTTGTCTGTCGCCATTAGTTAATAGAAGTAGGTGGACCTCCTTTCGAAGTTCAGTAAGCATGGCTTTGACGTCTTCTGCCAGTGTCATATGCTGCAAACGGGTAGATTTCCATAGGAAATAGCATTCTTCAGCCAACTTCCTATTGGCTGCCCCACCGTTTGTTTCTTGGATAGCTTCTTCCCAATATGAGGTCCTTAGATTAGTAATGCATGTATTGGAAGGATATAAGCATTCCTTGCTGAGTTTAACTTGAACTTTATCACAGATAATTTTAGCCTCTTCTTTGTACTGGTATTTTGACTGCAAAAGCTTTATCACCTCCAACACGGCGCTTCTGGTGGCCTCTGCCGTGTCGATGAGCGTGTTATCCAAGTCAAAAAACACTGCACGCACCCGACTCAGCCCCATTTCGCCGCCGGACACGTCACGTAGAGCAGGGGGCGCCGCCCACCGGAAGCGCATGGGCCTTGGCTAACACTCTTAATGCAGCTCAAACTTCCTTTTTTTAAGTATAATTGTTTCTTGTTCATATGCTACCTCCTGAAATGAATGAATGTGGACTAACTGTTTTTGATAAAGTGACTGTGTATTATTTACTCCTTTTGATGTTTCCTGTATCATTCATTATTTTGCCCATAGAATCTTTCAATATTACAAAATCTACCCTTGCATTTTTTCTTGAGATCTTTCAGTTTATGATATGCTGTGTGTTTTCTTCCTTTGTGGTTTTCTATCTTTAGGTCTTTACACATTTCATTCTAATATTTTACTTTTTCTCCACAAGCTGCCCTTTGAAATTTTCTGTTGGGTTCTTTGACTTCATTTTTTCCATTTGCTTTAGCTACTATACAGTTAATAGCAAGATTCAGTCTCTTCTGACATCCATGTTGATCTTTCTTGTCTTTTTTTCTGACCTTTTGCTTTTCTCATATGTAATGTTCTTGATGTCATATCACAGATCAAGTCTTTTGTCATTAGTGTTCATTGTGGCAAATCTGTCAATACAGCTATTATTCAAATTTATGTACTAGCCACTAAAGCTAGTGAGGAAGAAATTGAAGAATTTTATAAATGTTTTCATTCTGAAATTGATCACATATTCAATCAAGATTAATTGATTATTGGAATGAAATTTTGAAAACAAAGGAAAAAGAACAGTAGTTGGAAAATATGGCCCTGGTCATAAAAGCAAGTTGGGAATTGAATGACAAAATTTTACAAAGAAGATGGAGAAGCTCAATACCAATGGCTAATATGTGGCAGGGCTTATGGTGGAATGGCTCATCATTTCACGTATGCAAGTTCAGATTGAAGCTGGAGAAAATTAAAACAACTTCACACAAGCCAAAATATGACGTCGCATCTATCCCACCTGAATTTCAAGAACATCTCAAATCAGTATTTGATGCATTGAACATTGATGACAGAAGACCTGGGCCATTCAAACTATGGAAACAAAGCAAATGTACGTTTCTCTTAGAATGTGGTTGTTGTTTGTTGCCAGTTAGTTGATTTTCACCTCATAGTACCCTGACATGACAGAACAGAACAGCCACATCGGACTTCCTAGGTTTTATACTTCGCAGAGGCAGATTGCCAGGCTTTTCCTCTATAGAGCATCTGGGGGGATTTGAACTGCTAACTTTTCAGTTCATAGTGGTGTCCCAGGAGGGCTCCTTTCGTTTTGGGTAGCTACCTACGAAAATGCGGGAGAAACATACTCTTAATAGTCATCTAAATTAAAGATGTCATGAACTAAGAATTTCTAATAAATAGGCCTTGACCGAGGGCCAGCTTTCTTAATTTTATTATTTCTTTTATTTTTTTATGTGTGTGGGTACATCCCACCAATTACCATTGGGTCCATTCTGCGTCATAGTGACCAATTAGGGTTTGCAAGGATGTAAATATTTATGGGGCAGATAGTCTTGGGTTCCTCACATGGAGTTTATTGCTGGTGGGTTTAAACCAACCTTTCCATTAGCAGTCAGACATTGCTTGATTTCAATATACATATAAAATTTAAAAGGAGGCCAAGACAGGGTGAGGAGGGAGAATTTTGAAGGTCATATGTTCAAACTTCAGATTAATCATCGGAACTTGATAATAGGGACATCCAAGTCAATGAAGTTGAACTGTGGCTTCAGTAAAGGAGGCAAAGAAATGTCTCTGGTCCTCATATAAGCCTCTGTTATTCCTCTAGGTTAGGCTTTGGACCTGCTTTGGCAGGTGAGCTAAGATCCTGATTGACTAGATTTAAGGATCTTGTTAATAAGTAATTTAACCATGATAAGTAAATTGTGAGCATAACTAGACGGATACTTATTGAAAAAAATTTCTAAAGTGTTTAGAATACTTTCTACTGAAGATGAGATCCTTGAATATTAGAATGAAGTGTTACATTTGAGGTTATCTAAGCAATAATCAAAAAATTATTCTCTCTAATATTACCATTTATGATAGCATCAACTATGTTTACCTGTGGAAGAATTATTGAAAATATTAAAATTTGGGATAAGTAACTTATAATCAGTTAGAATTTTGATAATCAATTGAGAGTGTGAAGCTTCTGGAATAGCAAATGAATTTGGATAAGTAAGTGTAATAAGTTGCTTTTGAGGATTAATAGTGATGTGAAACATACATTTCCAATGAAGAAATGCCATGAAATCACTGGAGGCCCCACTTACAAAAGTCAAGCTAGGTGGAAATGACCTTTCTCATGAATGCCTCACATTCCCAGACATTACCCATGCTATTGAGACACAGTGTGATTAACTACTCAGGCCATGGAGAAGTGTCACCCAGGTTAGGGTATTCCATGTATTCAAATTTCAGTCGCAGAAGAGGAATGGAAATTGACACACTGAAAGACTGTGAATGATTCAACTCAAGGATTAAATCTGAAAGAAATCGTTTGAGACATAGAAGTCAAAAAGGAAAAAAGGGGAAGGTGTCAGATGGGAGAGGAACTTAAGAAATTGCCAACAATGTTAGTCACACTTTCCCTGGGTTCTCATATGCATAGGTGCTATTTTGAGATTCCCATGACAGAATACTAAAGAGAGAAGTTGCTATGGAAAATTTGGAAATAAAATCTATTTTTAGCTGAATATGTATAGACACACCAAGTCATGAATTCATAAAAGTATTTAAAATATTGTAACTCAATTGGGAATGGCTATTTGTGTCTCTGGACTTGTTAGTCCTATCAGCATTTATCAATTTCTTTCCCTGAGTGAAGTTATTTCACTGAAAATGGTAAATGAAAGCACACAGAAGGCCTTTAACCCTCTCGAGACAGGATTATTTTATGTTTGTTGTTGTTGTTGAAACCATACATGTTTAGTAATTGGAATGCATTTTGAAATACATTTTAAAACATTTTTGAGATAATTTGGATTTTGATACAATTAATGGGGTAGATATGTCCTTAGAGGTCTCTGCTGCTGTGTCGGGGTGAGGCTCATTTCTTAATCCATACAGCATAGACTAAAATTAGGATAGTGATTTCACACTAAACACCAGAGGAGTAAAATATAGCTGAGCACGTCCTGTCCCATGGGTTATAAAATGACTAACAGGTTATGGAAATTTTTAGAACATTCAGAAAGCTTCACAAAATGGTACCATCATAACAATAAAAATATTCTTTTCCCCAGGAGTCAGAGAAAAGTCTGGGAGGCAATGCTCAGTCCCAGTTGAAAATGATGAAAGGTATACTGGGTAATACAGTTCCATGATATCCTAAAATGAAAACAATAATGCTTTCCACCCCCTGGAGATTATTATCAAATGAAAAGGGTACTTACATGTTTTTGTTGACTCCCTTAATTATAAACAATTATAAGCTCTGTTTATTCATCTCGATTCTGTTTCTTCATCTAATTATTCTGTTTTTTAAAAAAGCAAACCCAAAAACCCACTCCCATGGAGTCGATTCTGACTCATAGTAACCCTACATAGGGTTTCTAAAGCTAGAAATCTTATGGGAGTAGGAAGCCTCATATTTCTCTTTCTGCATGCCTGGTGAGTTTGAAACATTGACCTTGCAGTCAGCAGTCCAACTTTACCTGACAGTGACACCAGGGTAACAAATATTTATTATTAAACTAATTTCACTCTGACACCTTAACCTCTCTTTCAAGAAAGCTTTACCTATTACATTCATTTCCTTATCTTCCACTCTCTTAAAACTCAGCTTTTCCATATTGTAATAAAAATACTCTCTTGAAGGTCTCTAATGGTTTCCCAGTCAAAACATAAAGTAATATTTTCTCAAATCCTATTTTTCCTTGACTTGAAGTGTTTGGCACGGGTTTCCACTTTTTGAAAACGCACTCGCACGTTCCTTACCCCAGCAGCCACCTATTGTTTATTCCTTTTGTTCTTCTTTCAGAACAACTCTCCCTCCGCAGTTCTTCCCAAGGTTGTGCCCCGGGCCTATTCCTCTTCTCATGCTATCTAGATTCACATTAAGCAAGCACAGCGCTTTTATGATTTCACCTACCACCTTGACATAGATGATACCTAAATCTCTATTTCTCTTCCCTTTGGTTTCTAATGGTTATCGAAAATCTGTCTTCATTAATGACAGATGGGGCCATAAAATAGACTATTCTTAGCCTTTTCATGGTTTAGAAGGACTTATTCCATGTGAAATGAAAATGAACATTTCAGTCTTAGCTTAAAACAAAAGACAATATGGAAATACAGGGAATCCAGGGCGGATGAGCCCTACAGGACCAGTGGTGTGAGTGGCGATACTGGGAGGGTAGAGAGAGTGGGTAGGAAAGAGGGAACCAGTTACAAGGAACTGTATGTGACCTCCTCCCTGGGGGACGGACAACCAAAAAGTGGGCGAAGGGAGACGTTGGACAGGGCAAGATATGACAAAATAACAATTTATAAATTATCAAGGGCTCATGAGAGAGGGGAAAAATGAGGACCTAATGCCGGGGGTTTAAGTGGAGAGGAAATGTTTTGAGAATGATGAGAGCAATGAATGTACAAATGTGCTTTACACAATTGGCGTGTGTATGGATTGTGATAAGAGTTGTATGAGCCCCTAATAAAATGATTAAAAAATAAAAATTTTTAAAAAGACAATATGCAATAATGTACTCAGCTGTATTTTCAGATTGGAAAGATCAAAGTTTGTGCTCACATAAAACTCAACAACCTAAAGAGTGGCTATACACATTAACCTGACCAGATTAAATGCACAAAAATCAAATCAAGTACACCTGTAGAAAGAGACCATGAAGAAGTAAAGTATTGCCAGTCAGAACAAGGCCAGAAACCAACTTTCGAAAAGAGTAATGATTGGACATATGTAAGTTCAGGTTGAAGCTTAAGAAAATCAATAGAGTGAAAATGTGGTCCTGAGTATATCCTACATGACTGTAGACACCATCTAAGGAACAGATTT